GTTTTACTCTACTGCATTTTCTAAGTTCCCAGAAAAGGACAAGGTAGGAGTTCTAATAAATACTTGTAGAGTGCATGTCTATCTCTAATGGGGATAATAGTCATACCTTGCTGGGTTGTTCAAGGATTACAGTAACTATTATAGATCACCTAGCCCAGTTCCAGGAATTTGGTAGGCCTCAGAAAATTGTAATCATTATTTTATTATTATTTATCATAAGGGGGAAGATGAGAGGATCTTAAAATCCTATGTGCATTTAGGGGACATAAAAAACTTGGGTGTTATTCCATTTTATGTGTAGATTTACCAAACAGAGGCTTTTAACAGTGAACATTATGTGTGAAATGTGTAAACATTTTAACACAAAATTATAAGCAAAATGGAACCACAAGAAAAATCTAACTGTGTTCTCTAAAACTTTAGGGGACATCGTTCAGAGAATAAAAACAGAGCTTAGAGATCCTGTTCAACATACTGACAAATTGTTACATCTCAGGGCCCTCTGGGAAAGGTCAACAGTGAATAAGTAGCCAAAAGAACGCCAGACAAAAAGACCCACTGCAACCAGGGATGCTGTCAGCAGCATTCTGTCATCTGCTTATGGTTCTGGAATACCAGCGGGTTTACTGTGAATTTCTAGCACTTTCAGTGTGATTTCCCCAGTTAAGAAATTTTACGGGTAAACGAACAAGTCTGATCCATAAGCTGGTCAATAAAGACTTGTGTTCTCATGTATACATTTCAAACTCTAGATGCAAGTTCCACGTGCAATTCTGAATATTCAGTGTTTGCCCAACAATTCCGTAATGTCAGCCAGAATACTTAATGCATCTAAACTTTCTTCCCAGGTCCATGAGCTAAAAGGAACCAAAGTTGAGTTTAACTAATGAAGTTCAAATCATGAAATGGCTTAGAGATAAGCAAATCTCACAAGACTTCAGTCAGTTTTTTTTTTTTTTTTAGATTCTTGAATCACTTGGTTTATTCAATTGATAGGAATATTCAGTGAAAAGCAAGAGATAAGAGATGGAAAAGGTCGACCTTGGATAGAGGGCAAACCAGTGGAAGACCCGTACTATGTGGGTCTTGTGTTATGCAATGTTCATATGTCCATGTTTTCTCTCTGCTGCATCAGTCTGCTCCACGGATGGTTATGAGAACCAGAGCTGTGGATGTGCAGTGGGGCTCAGCAGACTGAAGCTGGCTGGAGCCCAAACACTCTTGTTCTGTTGTCAAAAGGCAAAGGCAAGAATTCCTGGCTACAGCTGTAGCTTGCTAATTACCCTGATGGGCAGCTATGGGTTTGTCCTCTCAGGAAGAGGACACATAGGACGGGAATGGGTGTCACAAAGGGATGTCTGATTTAAGATTTTATGAATAATGAGTGCCTCATAAATATCTGGTGTTTCACACACCTTGTGACTGCTTAGTGCCTACTTTGCCTGTCCAGCGCTTCCTACACACGCATACGTCTGCTTTACATATCAAGGTCTAGCAGGTCTCATAAGCTACTTGCTTCTACTCTTAATTTCATCCATCTTCCTTATCACCTTTTTTTAAAGTTTTTTTTTTTTTTGTGGTAAAATGTATAAGAATTTCCATTTTAACCATTTTAAGTGTATACCTCAGTAGCATTAACTACTAAATTCACAATGTTGTACAACCGTCGCCACTATTTCTACAACTTTTTCATCATCAAACAAAAACTCTGTACCCATTAAGCAATAACGCCCCATTCTTGTCTCTCAGATCTTTAATTTCATTTTTGCACATGAGAAAAAAATGGAGTATTAAAGATAAAGAGTAAAGCTTTAACAGCTTTAGCCACCAAATTCAAGCCTCTCAAGAACACAGTGTTGCTGATTCCTGTGTCATCCTCTCCTCACTGAGAACTGCCCTCTTCCTTCCTCTGTTGTTAAGTCACGTTTGCCAGCGTTGATACTGAGTTACTAGGAGGTTGTTTGTAGATATGAAACAACCGCACACACTGCCAGTGCTCCAGGGTTATTTTAAGTAACAATATATAAGGAGCCCTGGTGGTACGGTGGTTAAGAGCTCTGCTGCTTACCAAAAGGTCAGCAGTTCAAATCTACCAGCCACTCCTTGGAAACCCTATGGGACAGTTTAAAAACTGAGTTCAATTTAAAGTTATTTCATAGAACTCAGTATTAGGAACGATTTAGAATTCTATACTTCAAAGTCTTCAAATTAAACAAAACTCCAAACACCCAACTTGTCTGCTTTGCTGTTATTTACAATAGTGAACATTTTCAGATAGGAAAAGACATGAGAAAATGTTATTTTTACTGACTTATTTTTGTGGATCCCATTTGGGTTTGCCAAAAGCATAATGTTGAGAGTATTAATATATGGTTTGCATTTTGCCACAATAATGTCTATGAAATCCAGAGTGCCTCTAAAGTTTCGATAAGAACATTTGGAGAGGTATGATATCTATTTAATTGGAACCTGTTTGTTAAAAGTAAATGAAAAAAAGTAAGGAACTATTAACACCTGTGGTGAAATCATGTTAAGCATCTGCTTATAAATTTTGTTGATTTTAAAAGTTATATTTTGGCAAACTAGGTTCTATTAATGGAAAAGGAACACCGCATCTTTCAAATAAGGACGTTTGTTTTGACAGCAGATACCCACGTGTTGGGAGAATGTTAAAATATATCACAGCCTTTCAGTTAATCTGTTTCATCTTTCTCAAAGCATCTTGGACCTTCTCAATGCTGAAATAGAATATTTCCTCAATTAATTCAATAATTATAATACTCTAAATTGCTGCTAATCTGTTGTCATTATTATTGTTATATTTTGCAGGGATGTAGCTGAGTACAGATGGTAAGCCCAGGGCTCAGGTTTCCTGAGATGCGGGACTGTCAGGGCTAAAACTGGGGAGTCCTGGTTTGCAAAATTAGGACTGGTTCTTTCCTTACAGTTAGGAAAAAAAAAAAAAAGATTCAACAGAATTCTCTTTGCTGCAGTTGGAGATTTAATCCTGTTTTTAATCTGAGTAGATTAAAAAGGTTTTATCTTTCTTGTGTTGTGGAAAAGGAAAATCCTAAACAGTTCAGTGGAAAGAGTCCAGAGTATGAGTTTCCAATCGAAAAAAAAAACTGTAAAATGAGGACTCTCATGAGGAATTTAAAGCCTGTGGCAAAAGACACTTGGCCCGTGGGAAGCTACCAAAAGGTCATAATATTATCTACAACCAGAAGGACTTCTAGTAGTCAGGATTACATACTGCTACTAGTTATCTCTGTTTTGTCTTCCAAAGTTATAAATAATCCCTCTAGTGACTGGACCGAGCCCTGTGGCACAGCGGTTACGAGCTTAGCTGCTAACAGAAAGGTTGGCAGTTCGAATCCACCAGCTGCTCCTTGAAAACTTTATGGGGCAGTTTTATTCTGTCCTATAGGGTCCCTAAGAGTTGACTTCGACTTGATGGCAAGGGGTTTGGTTTTTTTTTTTTTTTTTTAAACTAGTTATTATTACTGTTGTTGAATAATAATCATGGCTGTCATTTACTGAGTACTTCACTATATATGTTTGGCTCTTTATATAATAATATCCAAAATTCATGAATGCTTATTTTGTTACTCTGCTATTTGCATTACCTGTATTATATCATTTATGCTTACAATATGATGAATCATTGATGAGAAAAGCAAAGGTTAGACAGGAAGCCTAGGGGCAGTGAGTTATGTCAATCCGGGGGGGAACAATTCAGAAAAGGAGGGTGAGAATGGCTGTACGACTTGAAGAATGTAACCAGCATCACTGCGTTGTACATGTGGAAATTGCTGAATTGTTGTGTGTGTTGTATATGTTTTCAACCACAATAAAAAAAGTCTGAGAGAAGTGAAAGGTTTTTTACAGCAGTTACAATCAGTAAACAAAGTATCTAATTTTTTAAATTTATTTTTTACTTATAAATTATTGATCCTGTCATAGATGATGCTTAGAATCAATAGTAAATATTTATTTTGTTATTATGTATTCTTTGAACAGTTCAGAACAGGATGGGAAGGCATGCTAGACTTTCTCAGTTGGTCACATCTGTTGGGACACTTAATTGTTGAGATCAGGCCTAATTAAAACACCACCATTCATGTAGTGACAACATATATTATGTGTAGTCTGACTCATGGTGACCCTATGTGTTACAGAGTAGAACTGCTCCACAGGGTCTTCTTGGCTGTAATCTTAATGCAAGTGGATCGCCTGGCCTTTCTTCTGTGGTACCTCTGGGTGGGTTTGAACGAACAACCTTTATTTAGGTTAGCAGTCGAGCGCAAACTATTTGCAGCACCTACGGACCTTTGTAGCCAAAGTACCTAGCAAGAAAGACTCATTGTCCTGATAATTAGCCTTACAAATGCAGTTTTATAGAAATGACACCAAACATCACAGCATGTTTCCAACTCTACTTACTAGACCTTCAGAGGTTCAATTTGAAAGACATGGCTGAAAGCCACTACCCATAAAAAAACCCCGTTGCCGTTGAGTCAATTCCGACTCATAGTGACCCTATAGGACAGAGGAGAACTGCCCCATAAGGTTTCCAAGGAGCAGCAGGTGGATTCCAACTGCCAACCTTTTGATTAGCAGCTGAGCTTTTAACCACTGCACCATCAGGGTCTTTCCACAGTCCCAGTTTATTAGAAAACAGTCCTGGGGGCAAAGGCAGACATTCTGCACCAAATAAACAAAAGAGGTTGAGATGACTAGCTTATACACCATGTCTTGATAAGACAAAGTCAATATAAAAATGATAGAGTAAGAAATGTTGAAAATAAATCAGTCTTACAAAGTGCATGCCTTTTAATTAATTAAAAGGAATTCCAGGCAGCAACTTTACATAAACTCATGTCATTTCCATAAGGAATGTCTCCTAGATATGTTTGCACCATCAGCAGGGAAGGCTTCTGTTACAACATGGCTTTAGAGTTTAGCCCCCAGGGGAGAAAGAATTACAAGCTGTTCCCAACCTGGCTCACACAGCTGGCCTGACTCAGGGTGCTGACGGCTCTCATGTAGCTCTGGTTCCTGGAGCGGAATTTCGGGGAGTTGTAGTTGGCAGAGGGATCCAGGTTGTGACCAACAGGCACGTCACTTGCAGCTTGCAGGTAGCTCGGGCTATATTACAAAAGACAGAAAGAAAGAAGTGAAGAGAACAGGCAGTCCGTGAACACCCACCGAAGTGCTACAGAAGAGAATGAATATTCGAACCAGCACCAAGAGGCTGTTATAAACTCTCCAGCTAAATGTTTGTGTTTTAATGGCATACTCTGTCTTCTGCAAATATTCTTGAGGTCCACATTTACAGATGTGAACTTCATCAAAACTTATAGGAAAGGCTATTTATAAAATTGCTTGGAAGCCTGACTTTTTATGGCCAGATAGTGAAATTAGGCTTGTTTTACATTAAGAAAAAAAAAAACAGTGTTGAAAGCAGCACTAACTCATACATGATAGCAAACCTGGCACCTTAATCTAAGCCAAAAAAAAATCTATAAAAGTCTCAAAAATCATATTAGCTTTTCTGCAACATTATATACTTAGAAAAATAAAAGCAAAAGAATCACTTTCAGTTTTAACTTGTGAAGTTATCCAGATTATGCAATATGAGCAAATAAAAAGAATAAACTGAGAAATCAATTCCATTTTTATCATAATGATCATTTTCTTCCAAATTCTTTTCAAGTCTCCCTTCTTGCTAATTTTTAAGACCTTAAAAGTATAGAAAAACCTTGAGGATGTTTAATTTAATTTTCTGGCTAATTGAATTCCTTTCATTCCAATTTTTGTTGACAATTTTTCCACAGTGTAATAAAAAAATATTTTTTAAATTAAAAACGGGAGTGATATAGTCAGAAATTATTATTTTTCTTTCCTATTGTGGCTAATAATTAAAAACCCATTGCCGCTGGTGGATCCCAAGTCATAGCAATCCTATAGGACAGAGTAGAACTGCCCCATGGGTTTTTCAAGGCTGTAATCTTTACTGAAGCAGACTGCCACATCTTTCTTCCACAGAGCTGCTAACCACCGACCTGCCAGGTAGCCGCCAAGTACGTAACCGCTGTACCACCAGGACTCCTCAGCTAATAGTTAGGAACCTTAGATATCATTACACAGGCCTGTACAGAACAATGTACATAAATATTAGGTTGATAATTCTAGTTTGCCATCAAGTATTCCTTACTTTTCAAAGCAAACTTCTGATGTAATTTGTTTTTTTCTGTGATTTGCTTCTTTAAAAATGGGGCAGAGAGAGAGGAAACAAACACAAAACCAAACCTGGACTCTATTTTTAAAGTTCTGATTAAGGGCTTATTACTTACGTATTTAAAGTCATTATTTCTGCTACAAGGAGCCTCTGGTGGTGCAATGGTTAAGCACTCCAGCTTGCTAACCACAAGGTTGGCAGCTCGAACCCACCAGCCGCTCCCACGGGAGAAAGATGTGGCAGTCAGCTTCTGTAAAGATTTATATCCTCGGCAACCCCATGGGGCAGTTCTACTCTGTCCTATAGGGTCGCTGTGAGTTGCAATGGATTCCAGGGCGGTGGGTTTGCTTTTATTTCTGCTACAAATGATTTTTGTTTTAAAATAACACGGATAACACACTCCAGCTTCAACAAATTAAAAAACACATTGGAAAGAAAGTAGTTTTAAGCACGTTATAAATCTGTTATCTAAGGAAGTAGGTTAATTTATTTATACTGATTCCTTGTTTTCTCCCATTGCGGCTGAGCAAGGGTTAGAGGACACCTCTCTCCCTCCCCAGCAGGGGAGGCGGATCCGCACAGACGCCAGCAGAGGGCGCTCTCTCCTTTCCTCACGGTCGGAGTCCCCAAGGAGGAAGACAAGCCGAAACGCATGGACAGGCAGCTATCTGGTGATATTCCTCCACTGAACTGACCAGATCCAATGCCAGCAGCAAAATATCAGTAGTATCTCGAGAATCTGACGACCATTTGGGATTACCAGTACTCTGCACGGGATTACAGTTGGCTTCACGTGCAGGCTTACCTGTGTGTGTTTAATACAGTGTCAGACGCAAGGAGAAGGAGCCCCACGCTGTGGCCGTCAGCGCGACAGGGGGATTCCCTGTATTCAGTTCGGTTCTTGGCTGGTTTGACTTGCGTCCTTGTAAAAATGTAAAATTTCTGCTTTTCCTCTCTCCTAAATTTCCCGAAATCACTGATTTCAGACTTTGCATTTCTACCAATTAGTGCGGATGCCTTATTCTTTTCCAGTATAATCGCATGCCCTTCTGATGAATAGTGCCCTTTCTACCATTTTAACATTTTTAAATTAAAGTTGCCTTCTAGGCTGCGAGTTCCTAAAAATAAAAGGACTCATGTTTTCTCTATCTTTGTATCCACAATTTCTAACCCAGCGCCTGTCATTGTGAATGAAGGGGTATCCTCAAAAGCTAGAACTAATAACTTTCTTGGTTACCGTCGGATGGCATTGAAACATGATGTAATGCATTGCGAGAATTTGTTTCAAATACGTATTGTAGCTTTCAGTGAATCTCTTTATTCCAAGATTGGGCATGCCACTAAAAGTCACAGCTGTAGAAATCTAATATGATTTTTTTTTCTTTTAAACATTGAGTCCTAATAGTTAATATTTACTGCAATATACCATTCGTTCTAAGCTTTTTATCATTGGACTAACCCATTTAATCTCATATGAATCCTATAAAGTAGGTCTATCAATAATCCTCATTGTACAGATGAAGAAACCAAAACACAGATGTTAAGTCATCTGCCCAGGGTCACACAGAGGAAATGGCAGAGCTAGAGTCTGAACGTAGGTAGACTGGCTCCAGAATTCATACTTTTCACCCCAATGTCACAGCTGCTGTGTCACGGAAGCAGAGAATTCAAAAGATCCATTTCTCCATTATCATATATTTTTAAAATGGTTTTAAAAACCTCAGCTTCATTAGGCTTAATAGAAAAAATATTCTTCAATTGTAACGGTTTAGCATTTTCTAATAGTGTCCAAGAAAGCCAGCTATCCCTGTACATCACAGAATTAAGACTGGGAGCTGCAATCAGGATTAGGAGCAGCAGAAGTCAAAGTTGTCCTCCAAACCAAGTCCATTGCCGTCAAGTCGGTTCTGACTCATAACGACCCTATAGGACAGGGTAGAACTGCCCCACAAGATTTCCAAGGAGCAGCTGGTGGATTCAAACTGCTGACCTTGTGATTAGCAGCTGAGCTCTTAACCACTGGGCCACCATTAGATAGTCACAAATGCATAAATGAGAGTGGAAACCTATTTTGGGAAGCTGTAAGAATGAAAAAAGCAATCATATAAATAGGTTTCCTAGTATTCTACTGATTTCTTTCTATTTGCAAGTTATTCCAGAGTTATTTGCTGAATAGTGGGCTCATAAATCTCTTCTGTAACTTTAGATCATTATTAAAAACAAATTTACGTAACAAAAACGTATACCTAACCAAGCTTCTGAGTTCAGCTATTTAGATTCATGTAAATGTACATAGGTATGTTTTTGTTATACAAATTTGTTTTAAACTGCCAGAAATTCAAGCTGGATTCAGAAGAGGACATGAAATGAGGGATACCACTGCTGATGTCAGATGGATCTTGGCTGAAAGCAGAGAATACCGGAAAGATGTTTACCTGTGTTTTATTGACTTTGCAAGGCATTCGACTGTGCAGAGCATAACAAATTATGGATAACATTTCGAAGAATGAGAATTCCAGAACAGTTAATTGTGCTCATGAGGAGCCTGTACGTAGATCAATGGGCAGTCGTTCGAGCAGAACAAGGGGATAGTGCATGGTTCAAAATCAGGAAAGGTATGCATCAGGGTTGTGTCCTTTTACCATACTTATTCAATCTGTATGCTGAGCAAATAATCCAAGAAACTGGACTATATGAAAAAGAATGTGGCATCAGGATTGGAGGAAGACTCATTAACAACCTGTGTTATGCAGATGACACAACCTTGCTTGCTGAAAGC